GTGTGTTAACGTGAAAGGTTAAAGTGTAGAATTGTTTCATTACGGTAAATTTAATGAGCAGAATATTTTTTTTATCTTTTCATTTGGCACATCTGGCCAAAACATGTTAAAAAAAAAAGTGCGACTCGTAGTCCTGAAAACACGGTAATTAAATGGACTTTAAAGCCTCTGAAAATCACAGATTTTGATATTTTCATGTCTTTTTAAATCTTTCTCGGTTTTTCTACAATTTTGTCTACCCTAAATGATAATTATTCCACGTGTTTTGATAGGAATTTCTCTAAATTTAGGGTCCGTTTCTCGGCGTTTCTTCAGGTTGTGGCTAAAAACGGAGCTCCAGGTTTTCTAGCCGAGTCCCCCTACAGCCCCCCCCCGGAAACGAGGCTCCCTTCTGGGGTTCCCGGTCGCCGCCCTCCGGGCTCCTAAAGCCGGTCCCGGAGCTCCAACGGTCGGGGCGCGAGGCGGCCGTTGGAGCTAACGGCTGCCGGCCAACGGCTAACGGTCGTTACCTTCACATTCTCCCTCTTTCAGGGACTCCACGGACCCCGGCACGAGGGCGAGCGCGAGGGCCACCGAGAGCCCGCTCAAACACAGCATCCTGACCGGCGACAGGCTTCCCTTTCCCCGCAGAGAGGCTTTCCCGTTCCCGCCGCTGGACCGGAACACTCCGTACTCTCAAGCACGCAGACGCCGGTAAGCGGGGCGACTCCACGGGCTTCCCGGTGCCACGTCACGCGAAAGCGGAGTCCCTCATTGGTCCGGGCGCCCGGCCCCGCCCACGTGGGGACACGCACTTTGCTCCGATTGGTCCGAGTCAGAACATTCCGGGTACAACGTCCAGTTGGCGCCGTCTGATTGGTCCACAGGATCTCACAGCTCCGCAGAAGGCAAATACGAGCGCCGAAGAAGCTCAAATCAACCCAATTTACATCTATTTTAATAAATATAAGACACGTATTATGTACTAAATAACTGAAAAAAAATTAAGATTAAGGTCTGTAAAATGTGTTGAAACAGAAACGATCATTTTCATTACAAAAGCTAAACCCAGATGATGGAAAACTCCAGAACCCCTGAAAGAATTAGAGATTCATCCTAAAATCTCCACATTTACATCACATCCTGTTGGAAAATACAAACTAATACACGGTATCTGATTTCAGTTAATTATTTTAAGCATTTTTTAACCTCTGTGTGTAAAGATAAATGCGTTTTTCTGTATATTTACAGTAACCCTCTATTTGAAACTTTTAAGGCGGAAACTAATTCAGGGGAAGAAGCTAAAAGAAGTTGAATTAGTTAAATCAATTAGCAGTCTTTATCCTCAGTGACACAGTGCTTCAGCTAAAAGTTAAAAAAAAGATTTTCTGTGAATGTTTTTCTCAATAATTAACTTAAGAAAATAACCAGAAAGAAATCAGTGATTATCCTGATTTAACCCAAAAATCCTCAAATCCATTCCAAGATCTTTGTATAGTTTTATTTAAACCCTTGTGTTCTCATATGTTTCCATCCTTTATTTGAGTTTTCAGTGTTATTAGTAGGCTGCTCATGTCTGAATGTGAAATAACTGTGTGCCCCCCCCCCACAAATCTATGAGGAATAAGTGGCTCAGAAAGTGGATAAATGTCCCAAAAGGATAAAAAATAATATAAAGTCACCATCTGATTTACATAATGAATCCAAACCAGAGATACACACTGAACCGCTGAGAGGCTGAGGACCACCACAGTCACAATTATTACAAACACACAAAAACAAAAACACTGATTAAGGTAAACTAAATGAACAGATACATCACGAAACAGAAAAAAAAACGAGGAATTGACGCAAATAAAAGGAAAATTATTCCTAAAACAAGTGGATGACACCGGAAAACTACCAAAAAAATACACAAAACAACACAAAACGACACAATGAATGCTGAAAATGAGCTAAAACCACAACACGGACAAACAAAACCGGCCTCTGCTTCAAAGGGACTTTGCTGCTGTGCTGTCCGACTTTCCGAGGTTCCTTAAACGCACCAGAAAGACAAAAAAAAGACCACAAACACATTTTTTCTGCTTTATTCGGTCAACTCAACACAAATCAGACAATCAGAGTCAGGCTCTGCTGTGGCCACAGCTTTGGCAACTTCATTTGTAAACTTTAGATTGGGTTAGAAAGCGAAGGGGGGCGTGGCCTCGGGTGGGCGTGGCCTCAGGTGGGCGTGGCCTCAGGTGTACATCATCTCGGCCATGTGGGACATCTTCTTGGGGATGTAGAGATAAAACTCCATGTAGCCTGAAAGGCCCTCTGGTGGGCGTGACCCGCCGGTGGGCGGGGCCTCTAGTGGGCGTGGCCCCAAGGTGGGCGTGGCCTTTAGGTGTACATCATCTCGGCCATGTGGGACATCTTCTTGGGGATGTACAGATAGAACTCCATGTAGCCCGAAAGGTCCTCTATCGTGATGTCGTCCACGTAGGCGCGCGCCTGCTCCGAGCAGGACCGCGGCGAGCCGGCCGGGGCCACGCCCCCTCCCGCCGAGGCCACGCCCCCTGGCGCCGCCGAGGCCCCGCCCCCAGTCCTGGCCGCCCCCACGGGGCCCGGCAGGCCGCGCTCGCACTCGGAGATGACGCCGCGCAGCCCGGTGAAGGAGTACACCTCCACGCCGTCCCACCCGCGGCGCCGGGAGCTGCAGACGCACGCCGTAACGGGCGCCGTAACGCTCGCCGTTTGCTCGCCGTCGTCGTCACGGGATACGGGCGCCGCCTTCCGGGCGCATTTGCAACGCACGGGGAGTTCGGAAAGAGCTCTGAAGTCCGCCGCCTCCGTTCCCTCGCCGAACACGGGCGGCGGCGTCTGTCCCAAAAGGCGTGTGTGATCGGCGGGCGCCGCCGGCGTCCGGGGCTCCTCCGCCGGGGGGCGGGGCTCCGGCAGGACGCCGCCGCCGCCGCCACCAGGGGGCGCCAGCGGCGGGCCGCGCCCGCAGTAGCTGAACTTGGGCGGGTGCAGGATGGGGGACTTGGACCTCCGGCGCCGCTGGCTACGGGACGCCCCCCGCGAGGTTTTCCTCATGCAGCTGGAAGAGGAAAGAGACGCTTAGAGAGCTGAAACCAGAGAAAATCTGACCACAGACGGACAAGAAAAACCCTCATTTTCCCCTGGGGATCAATAAAGTATCTATCTATTTATCTAGTAAACAGATAAATGGAGGCAGAAGATGTCTTCCAGTCATCAACGCTCACATTCAGCCAAACACAGGACCTCTAGACATCTATCTATCTATCTATCTATCTATCTATCTATCTATCTATCTATC